ATTCCGGCATTCAAAGAAAAGTATTGAAAAATAGGTCTACCAAAACTTTCGTAAGTCTCGTAGAAAAATTTCGTTAAATTTGAAACAAACATGCCCAGTGAAACAGTTGGATATTAAAACAGTAACTGAATCGAATATATACAAAGCTGAAGCAAAACACACTGATACCAGTTGATCCGAAAAAATTGATTTTGTAAAAGAAACGCTTTTAAGCCTCCCGAATGCTATAATAAACAAAGCTTGCGACAATAATGAGCTTCGCTTACAGCACATGAAAAATTAGTGATGTGGCAAGTAAACCGACAAAACTTGAGCAGAAAAGTGCTATAGTGCATATGTTTTTTTAGATAGTCGACAGAAAGGATATATCATATTTTCGGTAAAAACTCCCTCAAATCTTGTTTTTTTTTATTCTTAAACCGCAATTCAACCAAAATCCAGCGGATGATCATTGAAAATTGGTTTTTTTAATGCCAGGGATAGTTCATAAATTTCCGAAGAGTGGGAGCTTGTTAAAACCTCCAGTGCCAAACACAAACCTTAAAAAACTCCTTTGTGAAACATACAATTTTTATACACTGTTCTTGTTTGTGGTTTGTTTTAGGTAAAAAACCGACATGTCAGCAACCCAAAAACGAGCAGACCAGATCAGCAAACCAGAACTGAAATTACCTGATAAGTAATTTTGAAAATTAAGAAAATTTTTTTTCGTATAATCAAAAAGGCATTTTGAAAAAAAATTATGTTATCATGTTATCAAAGTAACAACGTTTTTCATTAGTTCAACCCCGAACATGCTAGGAATTATGCGCAAAATGTAGTAATTTGAAGATTACAGCTTATGAAATGAAGTATTGCACAATATGAATGATAAGTCTTCCAATTTGATTCGTTGATGAGTTTCCTTTACGCTCAGTTAATACTTAACATGACGGAGTTAGTTACGAAAATGTTTCAGAAATCGATGTACTGATATGGTAAATTATTTATTCCGACCAATTGAGATAGGCGGCATGACGCAACCAGCTACGAAATTGTTTCATAATTTGATTTACCGATATGGTCATTTATTTGTTCCGAACTATTGAAAAACGCAAAATCAGATACCAAAAACAATGATCGGAATGGGTCAAATTGTTTATCATTTTGAAGCTTTTCAGTTGTGGTTCGAACGACATTAACGAATATTAGAAAAAATAAGTTTCTGTCGAAAAAAAAAACGGTTTGAAAGTTTTGATTTTTGGTCTAATTTCCAACTAAGCAGGTCAGCATGCAGGCTTACGAAAGCTTAGTTTTACTCATCCATCAAAATTATTTTTAACTTTTTGCGCCTTTTTAGGAATCAAAATTTTGAAAAATTAAAAAAAAAATTTGCAAAAACATTTGAAATTTTTTTTGAAAAAAAAGACCGTTTTTCCGATTTTAGTTTTCTTCTACAAACACTGTTTTTTTTTCCAAATGGCCATTTTGAACATGACTGTCAAATATGCCTAATTTTTTTTCTTTCAGATAATTTTAATACACCACACACAAAAAAACGACACAGTTCGAATATGACTGTCAATTATGATTATTTTCTATTTTTCGTTCAGATCTTTTATTACACCACACAAAAAACTAATCTAATTTGCAAAAAAAAAAAATATATTTTTGTTAGGACTATGGTCGGAAAAATCTGTGCTATTTGAATAGTAACCGGCTATCTTTGTTTATACATCGACTTAAAGCACGCATATCGACTTACATACTTCGTCAAATCTATTAAACCTGGTAAAACAATCTGAACAAGTATTCGGCAAAACGATGGCTTATTTTCTAATTGGATGCAGTGTAAACTGTATAAATATTTTGCTGAAAATTGATTGCAAATAAAACATCAGAAGTAGAACACGTCAGACTTCACACTAACACAATGTATTGAGTTGGGGGTAAAGTACGAAGGTCCGAAATTCTGCGATAGTGCCAAAGTCCAAAAAACTTACTTGTTCAGTAGGGAAACTAAGCTTCAGCGAGAAAATTTTGATCGAAGACGGCTTTTTTTCGGAGACCGGTCAGACACTGCTGTGATGAACAAATCAATTTATATTTGTCAAAACTTCTGATTTATTTTTTTTTAAATTACAAAGACCAGTTTATTCATTAAACCTACAATTTCAATTGCAAAATTTACATTATTGCCGCAATAAATTAAATGGAAATTTTTTTTGATGGAAAAAAATTACATTAAACTCTAATACTATAGCAGTCCAATTTGAGTCTATTATCAGATCAAGATCGGACGATGTCCCGATAAAGTTACCAAACAAATACCTAAAGTGCTCATGACAAAAGATATCGCATCATAAGCTCCCATGCCCATTAAAAAGATCCCATAAATTAGAAACAATAGACATGATCAAAGTGTAAACAAAGGGAATCTAGAATGATTAGATATAAAATGACCTCATCATTCTAGAATGAACAAATCTAGAATGATTATACTTCATTTTTTAAATTAAGCATTACTTTTGAGCATTTTTTAAATAGAGTGATAAAATGGTATTGAATGAGAAGAGCGCAATCAAAAAAGTATACAATTTGACTTCATTATCTCATTTCGGAACTCGTTGAATAGTCAAAAAAGAATTAGCTTACTTGAGGAACCTCTCAAAAGGGCCATAGGTTTTTTTTGAGTGCCATGAACTTCAAAATAAGCTTGATACAAAAAGAACAACACAGTATCGCTGCAGCAATTGGCTACCATTTAAAGACCCCAAAACTCAGCAACACATGTGGGGGCAAGATAATCTCAAGAAACAATAAAAGCAGCCACGAACTTCACCCAGGACGCTCCAAAGCTCAGCAATTAGTTCACTAAACCGTCACAAATCAATTGAACCCGAAAAACACCTAGATCGTTGCAGCTAATTTACAATTGCTTCAAGATGAAAAGGCAGCCCGTCTGCTCTAGCCATACCGAATACCGATAACACAAACTTTTAACAGAAGTAAGCAAATCATATCCCTGCCCAAAATTACCACAGGTGGCAGTCATTTGGAAGCAATGAATCGTTTTAACCAGTTTTCTTTTCCATAACGGAAAATAAGAAAAGGAACAAATACTGATTTTTGGCGATAGCGAGAACCTCAACGCAACCAAATTGTACAACAGAACATAGCTGGCAGATATTTGTTCAAATTTTGTTCCAGTCAATTGTACCAGCTCTTCACGAAATGTACCCAGATTGGCGGGTATTCTTCACGTTGAACCTACGTTCAACCTGCTAAGCAAAAAATAACACTTATCAACCTACAACAATTTTAAACTGCCAGTGAATTGTTTCTAAATGAGGTAAAGATCAATATTTTTTCGACCATTATTGAAAATGAGGCGTTGAGAATGCTTCCGCATCTCAATTCCGAACCGACTTTAAGGGATGTTACTTTCACATCCGTCAGGGTTTTTTGTGAAAATATCAGAATTGGGCCTTGAGAAGACCTGCGCATCAAACATCGAGTCAAAAGTGGCAATCACATTCAATCTGGTAATAGAAGAAACTGCAGCGTGGCAACCAAGTTAGATTTATCACAAAACGGTAATAAATACTAGACCAGCTCAAGGGTGATTTCCAAAAAAAAAAAACGTACAAAAAAGGAGAAAAATTGATCTACAGAAAAATAATCTTTCCGCTTTTAGATGCAAGCATTACCAAAAAGCTGTACATGGTATAGCTCGAACCACAATTGCAGTTGAAGGGTGGTATCTTGTTGCTACGTTTTGTGTTATAACAGACATCCCTTAAAAATAGATTTCATGAAAAGAATCAACTAAACCCAAAAATCAAAAACTTTGAAGGCGGTACTAACAACTTACTCCGGAAAAATACAGTAATCTGAATGAAAAAGATTAAAAGGTAACAATATTATACAAGAAAATATAATAGATCATATAATATCTGATCACTTGCTCATGAAAGTTTTCGATTAATGTTTTTGTTTTTTCCTAGTTTGTCTTTGAAACAAAATAAATTCAAATTATTTAAAGACGCCTCCTTACACCCTACCGGAGAACGCCTAAACGCAGTGCTTCAACTCAAAAATGCTGTCTCAATTCAATCCCAGAGCAATTGCTCTTATTTATCGGATGCCAGTTTTGAGGTAGGGGCCTGTGGACGCTTTGAGTATTGCGCTTTGCGAAAAAAAAAGATTTTTAGAAATGAAAAACGACATTTTTTAATAAATAGAACGGAAACAGAAATAAATAGAACATTTGTAATGAATAAGATTTCAAAGTCTTAAAATAATTTGACTTAACCCTAAGCTTTTTTAGCTTTAGTTGTTCAACGACCTTAATTTTCAATTCTTTCATATTTTGTCTTTGATTTATAATTATGGTATCTTATGTAGGTCGAGGGCGATTTAAAAACAATTGGTTTCTTATCGGTTGAGATATTTTCGTTTGGTGTCTTAAGGCAAGCGATTTTTTCTCATGTTAGAGGAAGATTGTGACATCATCTACTGTTGTTTTCAAAAAACATTGATACAATTTAAATCAATTTAACTTCCGATTGAATTTTGTTACCTCCATGTAAAAATTGGCAAAATAAAGTGGAAAAATTAATGTTATCGGTATAATAGGAAACTTAACTTGAATGGGAACTCAAATTAAACTTAAATGAAACTTAATGCTCATTACTCACATAAGATGAAAGTTAAAATTTACAATTTTTCTAGATTATTTTACAAAAAAAAAAAAACATTTTCCCTGTTTTGACAGGTTTCGGTAAAAAAAGCTATCGATGACAAATTCATTATAATTTTTTTTCAAATGTTTTTTAAGAGTCTTTTTGAACAAAAATTCTTTCAATCTCTCACTCAGTCATGATAAAAATTCTAATTAATCTTTCACAAGACAAACCAAGATACTTTCATGCCGAGTAATGGCCATTTCAACAACTTTGTTTCGAAATTAACATATCAGTATAAAGCAAACGCTTAAATTTTCTTCGTTTAATGCTTACCTCTGTTTGCGCCAATGCCATTACAATTAGCCCAGAAGTTTGCTGAATCGTAAAACACTGTGAAGTTTTAATAGCTCTCTCCTGGCTGTTCCAAATTTGCCAATAAAATGTCAAGTGGTTTTGATTGATTTTAAACCATTGATTGGATACGTGCATTATATTATTTTTTGCCAGAAAAATAAAATAATAATGACGAAAAAGCTAAACACATTTTGAGAAAATTGTGATCCTTCAAAATTGAGAATAAAGGAGATAAATCTGCCGCTTATGAGGATTTTGTTTGTCTATTTTAAAGTAAACAAACAGGAAAAATACACAAACCAATTTTGAAGCACTTACTTCGAGTGGCTTTATGCCCAAAAAAGACTTTCTTTACACTTGCAGTTTTTACTTTGTCTTTTGACTTGACTTTGTAGTCCAGACTTCAAACTGCAAACTGGATACACTCGTGAAGACCATAGAAGCGCCTACGGAGTTGACCCGATAGAAAACTTATCCCAGTTGGATCAAAATATTTGAAAAAACTTATAAAATCAAGACCCTTAAAATGAACAAGTGACAGTAAAAAGAACTTTGCCTCGCATAATTAATTTTTACACCCGAAAAATAACAATTTCAAATTTTACTTAGCTTGAAATTAAATAACGAAAGTCGGAAAATTGAGTAAAAAACGGGCCTTATGTTTCTATAAATAAGTGGGTTAGAAACAATAGTTGAGTAAAATGAGCTCCAAATATTGTATATTCTTTTACTCTTATTCGGTTTAGATTATAAAAAGGGAACATGGCCCCAGAGACATTAAATAAATTCTTCTTCACTGACATTTCAACCCTTACAAATGTCAAAATGATTCCCATCATCCTCCCATTCAAGTACTGAGATCATTCCATTCCTTGCAATGCCCGAAGACAGTAGGAAAAATTTAATTGAAAGGATAAGTTTTACTTCGTCTTTATATCTAGATATTTGGTTAAACTATTGTTGCAAAAATCCGTTCACGCATGCGCTTTGCCTTAGGGATAATGATTGTGTTGCAAAATGGTGAAGATTTGAACGAATTTGCAAAGACAAGCCATGTTGATATTTTGAACTCGATTTTGAAAAAAAAACAGATTATTCTTACCAGGGCAAAGCACGGAAAGTTCCAACTACCTTTCCGCCTGTCCGAGTTAGCTTTCGATGAAAAAATCTTCTTTTTATCAATTAAATAGAAATCTACATTATTTGTAGCGGAAATAACAACGAGAACATAGAAATGTCAATCATTTGAACTTTTGACAATGGTCAGACTAGCTTAAAAGAAGATCAATTAAGGCCAAAAACGACCGTAATTAATTGTTTTTGATAACCATGTAGGCGAAGTTCATGTTACTCACTTTCATAAAAAATTAAACCAAAGAAAAGAAATTGAGGAAGCATCTATTGATTTTATTAATTTACAAAAACTACTATTATGCTGAAGAAGTCGATTGGTGCTCAAGAAAAAGAGCCTAGAGAAAAAGATCACTTTGTCTCAAAAGACATCAATTACCTTGGTAGAACAGGGTTAAGTTGTTTATCACGTGAACCCTATAGTGATATTTTTCATCACTATCTTCGTCAGTACCAACGTCAAAAGTAAACAGACAACAAGACTGCTCGTATCAGGGCGAAGCCCAGAAGGTTCCGAGTGCCTTTTAAGATCCACGGAGCAATTTTGATAGGTAAAAACTAAATGTAAGGAAAAAAAAATTACTTTTAAATATGAGATTTTTTGTGAAAATCATCACCCCATCCTTCATATAAAGTACAAGGTGATAGATTTCGCTCCTATTAAAAAATCAATTATGACAAAAAAGCTTCACTCATCAAACTTGCAATAGTTTCTAAGACAGATTAGATCTCCGTTTATGCGTTAAAAGCGTGAGAAAAATTGCGCGTTAGTTGTCCCAAATTAGCCAAAATGGCGTTCTTTAGACCATCATAACCTAAAGAAAAACAAGCACAGGAGAAATATCTTTTCAAACTTAAGCTCATAAAGAAAAACAATAACCCCCAGCAAAATATTCCTTTACTTTCGTTACTAAAGTCGAAACGTAAATTGAGATGCCAAGGAATGTTTTTCGAGGAAACAATTTTATCGTGCAACTGACTCACTAAAAAAATCAAATTGCTACAAGCCAATATTAATATAACAAGTATTTACGAAACTGCTCCTATATCAGGACAAAGCTCTGAATGCTCCAACTACCCCGTAATCCATATCGAATAGTTTTTGGGAAATAATATGTTGAAAAACTATAAATTTTTTTACAATATCAAAGATCGTGAAAAAATTTGAGTCGTGCAAAAATAATACGACTGATAAGCTAGCCTCAAAACAATTTCAAACGCCTTTGTTGTACTGGATGAATTGCTAAGCATAAATAATTTTCGTTATGCTTTCAGGATTATGGATAAAGTCTACAAAGCGCACATAAATTAGTCCAGAGCATGGCCAAATTGGCAACTTTAAACTCCCAAAACTTTGCAAAAAAGATTGGAGGAACAAGATTTTTTAAAATTTGAAATCAGGGAGTCCACGTCTCCATTGGGGCATAAAAATGTTTTGTTACAAACTATTATTTCGACCGCCGAAAACCGACTGAATAAAACAATCACAACCAGTATAAATATTCCGTTTTCTTCGAAAGCGGGTACAAAAAGTTGAAACGTTTAAATGTTTGAATTAACTAACACCACGAAAGCAAGAAATGGTTAAAATTGATGCTCCTTTATTTGACATTTCTACAAACTTGAGAATCAAAAATTGGGAGCAAAAATACTTGTAAAAAGAAATATGCGGCTTATTGTATTGTTTTCCTTCAACTCTATTTGGAACTATTATGAACTGATTAAATTGACGCTTATGCGTTAATAGCACGAAGAATGTAGCGTTTTACTGTTCCTAAATTAACCAAACTGGCAACTTTTAAAACCCCAAAATTTCCAAATCATCAGACAAACAACATCTTTTTAAAATTGAGCTCGAGACATCACTGGCTTTCGGCTAGCATAAAACAATCTGCTAAAAAAGTAGAAATTGTTCTGGAGAAAAAATCAACCCTAGGACAAATATTCCGTCAATTTCTTCAAAAGTTGGAATAAAAACCCATTGAGCGCGCCAAAAACTTGATTATGCACAACCTGACTCACAAAAAGGTTACATTGAGCATGAATATTTGTTAGAAAAAAACTCAAAGCAGGCAAAAACAAACATTTTAGAACCAGCAGCTTCTAAACCTTAAATAACGCCTAGAATAAACCCAATCTGAGGCAAAAAAAAGAAAACAAATTACAAAATACTTACAAAAAAAATCGAAACAAAATAAACGGAAACATTCAGAAATTTCAAAATTAGAAAAAAAAAAATTTGGAAAAAAAATCACTTCGCATTTAGGAAACGCGAGAAACTTGTTGCAGAAATTTTAAACAGAGTCGAAGCGGAGCTTTGCAACACTTGTGATACAATTACAACACTTCGTTACAAGAAGTCATTTTTTAAAAATTAAGCTGAAAAAATTGCTTGGAAAAAGTCGAGAAAATATATCTACATACTTTTTACCTTTGTTTTGATGAGGATCACAAACAGCTCTAGCAAGCATTGCAAGCATTGAGAACCAATGATCAAACGGAAAATAGTACGCAAAACTTAGATCGACTCTCGTAAAACCGAAAATAAAATAAAAAGCATACAAAATTTCAAGCTATCATTTTTTAAATCAAAAATTTTACAACACATCCCTCCTGAAACAGGCAAAATATTGTTTGAAAACTTTACAGAAAAATGAGAAATCAGATTTAGTAATTTTACAAACTATAGACCAATTTTCAATTATGGTATTAGGAGATCCTCTAAAGCTGTTTGATTGTTTCCGAAATTAATGTAGTGATTCCAGATGAATTGGATAACATCAAAAAACCTAAAATTGGGATTCACCCAACACCTTAGTTGTATCAAATAAAGTATGGAGGAAACTTTTTAGAAATTGGATTTGTACACATTTTAGGGCGTAGCCGCTTCTGAATGGAGGCTTCTGGCAAGCTCATGTCTCAATTTAACCCTTGATATCAGATTCAGCTGGGTTGTTTTCGAGAAAATCAAAAGATTTCAAACAACGGACAAGAAATGGAAATATTGAATTTCCTAGGGCCACCACTTTGCTTTAAGATATATTGGACGTAGATTTTTATACAAGGGACCTTCACTCAACTCTTTTCTTTGATTGAACCCAAAATCTCACTTTTGGAAGGGTATTTTTCGAGAAAAGTCAAAATCAAAAAACCGTCGAAAAATCAAAAACTCGAAGTTTCCGAGGGCCATGAATTTTGTGTTAAAAAATGGGGTAAGTGCTTATGCACGGGATCTTCTCACAGCTCAGTTTTTTTATTGAACTCAAAACTTCAGATTAAGAAGGGCCGTTTCTGAGAAAAAAAAATTTTCAAAAAACGGTCATAAAATCAAACATTTGATTTTTCTGAGGCCATAACAATTTGTGGGAACAAAAATATGCATAACCGTTTATGCAGAGGATTTTCAATCAACTATTGCTTTCAATTGAAACAAAATTGTCCAATTTGGGAGCGTAGTTTTTGAGAAAATTCAAAAAATTTGAAAAAACGGTCAAAAATCAGAACTATGACTTTTCCGAGGACCTTAACTTTTCGTAGACAAAAATTAGGGCGTAAAATCTCAACATTTGAGCTGGTGGTTTTCAAGAAAAAAAAAACAAAAACTTGGGTCAAAAATCCTCCCTCCCCCTAACAACCTTTAACGAAGGCCTCATAAGTGGGGGTACGGTAAAAAGAGACTAGTTATAAATGCAAGCACACAAGGGAGTGGGCGGTTTTCCATTGAAAACCAGATTTTGCAAAAACAAAACAAAATTTTCGAGAAAAGCTGAAATTTTTGAGAAAAAAAAATTCGGTCTCAACAAAAAATTGAAAAAATAAAAAACCAAAGCCCATTCATTTTCATAATAAATGTTTTTATCAAACAGGAAGAAAATATTTGAATGTTAAGCAAAAAAACTACGCTTTGAAAAGAGTATACTCGAAAAGGGTACCAGATAACATAGATTGCATTTGAAAAAAAAGGAAAACCAGCAAATAAAAAAATAAGGACGATAATCGGAAGTTCAAAAAAATTGATACTTTTTCAAAATATAATCTCAAAAAATTAATTATTACTTTAAATGGAAAAAAAGCACTTTCATTTGAATTTTCAGGAAATTGAGCATGTCTAAGCATCAGCACAGATTGAGCAGCAGAAAGTGTAAGAATATTTGTTAAGGGGGAAAAAGTCTGGTTC